TGAAGGTATATTAGTACGCGCCACATATGTAATTTATCTATCATTCACCCTTTTTTTGGTTGAACTTATACTTCATAATTCCTCTTTGATAAATGAGCCTGGGTAGAACTCATCTCCAAAAGCCAGCCCAAAAGGAGAGGGTGCCCAACCCACCCTTGTGTATAATAACAGCTCTAACGAATCGATTTGGGATAAACATAACTTCTAACAGTCTTCATCTGTTAATGCTCTCTGGTGCAATCATTGTGTTACATTCTCTATCATTTTTTTTCAGCTCTGTAGTTCTTTTTGTTTCTTGATCTTTTTCTGAAAACTAATCATTGCAGGTAGAACAGAATACGTGTATGTTAGTGCGGTGGAGCCATCACGGCTTGCTTTAGACGTATCCTGCTCTATCATTTTTTATGCCTCCACTCTATTAGATATGCAAAACAATTAAGGGCGATTAAAAATCTGTCATTTCATATTTTTAGAAGTGGCTGAATATCTGAGGATATCCTTAAAAGTGCATACGTAAAGCTTATCAATGCCATGGTGCTCAGGCCCAATATTTTTTTATGTTTGCTTACTGACCTTTTACTTTGCCGGATGTTTTATCTGTTCATTTGATTCTTTTGTGATTTTGAACAGGTTTTATCCGATGAGTTACCTGCAGTACTTGGTAAAATATCATTCCCGAAGTCGATGCGGTGGAACTCTGAGGTCTGTGTTGCTTTACTATGGACTTAAATTTTTGTAATGTCATTTGGTATCTTTATGAAACTTCCAGTGCTGTTGCTGTCATAAGTTTCCTGGTGGGACTAGTTATTTATCAAGAGATAGGCATCTCTCTGTGTGTGTATGTGGTCGGATTGTGATGGTGTGTAAGTATAAGCTACAGTCTGAACTATATCAACTCTACATTCTGATTTGCTTTGTGCCTTTGAATCTTATCTTGGATATGCATTTTCGTGTTTGCAACTTTAAGTGTACAATGTAGGTTTGTGATTATGATTGCTCTAATTCTATCATTTATACCATATACCTTGGACGCAGATGTTTTGTTATGTTGCTGGAATAACTTAAATAAAAAGAAAGAGGAAGATTGCTTATTTGTGGCAATATTGGAGATTTGTTTCCATCTATTCATACCTTCTTTTTAACTTGTTTATTAATTTGCATTTTTTACATTTTGCCATTGCTTGCTCCTATTATTTATATATCACGACCTATTGTCAATAAACTGAAGACACCTTGCTGACATTTGTCATCCCAGGTGATGTTCAGCAGACCTGTTCGATGGATATTGGCGTTGCATGGAGATGTTGTTGTACCCTTTACATTTGCTGGTGTTATGAGGCAAGCGTAGTTGTCCCTTTTTCCAATTTTCTACTTTTCGTGTCATGCACTGTTTTGAAAAACCAGCTCAAGGCTCATACCGTTCCTGCAATCAGTGCTATTATTTTAATTTGGGATATCTAGTTACACGCGTGATGTTTGTTTTACCTTGTATGTGAGATTCTGTAATTGTTTAGAGCATCATAAGCGGCAGTGCATCTAAATCTGTTTATTTTCAGTAAATTAGGAGAACTTTCCTTTGGTCATGGTACTATATGCTCAAGTATAATCCTGCATAAGGTTTCTGAGTTGTTTTGAAGCATCTATTTGTGTGTATAAGTTTTTTTCATTTTGTAAAAGAACTATATTTTCGTATGTGATAATAGTTCTAGATAACTTGTTTTCATTTATAGTTCTTATCTAAGTTTTTGTAACAGTGGTAATGTTACTCACGGGCTAAGGAACACTTCGTCAGCCACTATTGAGGTTTGTCTGCCAAACCCCATGAGTAATTTTTCGTGAAGTTTCATCCTTTATTTATTAACAGGAATTATGTTTTTGTGGTGCTTGGAGGCGATGCTTATTATAATTGGTCCATATCTAGGGAGTCCCATCTTTTTGAAAGTTTTTGTTTGTTTTTGTCTTTTTCATTTTCTTCCTCTTTAGTTCTGCCTTCACTCTATGATATTTATCAACATTCTCAGTTGCTCATTTTTTCTTGTATCGTTACAGTAATGCACTAGGAGATTTCCTGAACTACGAGTTCATGGATAGACTTTAAAATTTTTATATTATTATATATCCTGCAGACGCTATTTCATTTTCAGTCTTTAATTGTCGTATTTGCATGCTTGACATATTTGTAGTTTAATGGCCCTCTGGTAGAGTATGTCCATTGAGTTACTCAATTTGTTGCCTGCCTGTTGTCTTGGAAAACAAGTTGTTTGATGTTGAAAAACCATTTCGATTTCTTGCATTGTCAT